AAAAAAGCCAGCTTGGAGAAGGACGAGGCGTAGGAGGAGGGCGCCAACAGCTTGAAGAAGATGTCCCCCCACCCAAAAAAAAAAAAAAAATAGCTTGAGAAGACGCGCGAACTCGACTTCATGATTAAAGACATGGCCTTATGTTTGTTGTCCCATCCGTTGGATCGTTGGTGTGGTCTTTTGTTTTTGGTTTTTTCTGTAGTTTGCTTTCCCTCGCTCTCATTGCCTTCCTTTTTTTTTTTTTTTTTTCATTTTGTTTTGGCGTTCCTAAATTTGCGTTCTTTTTTTTTATAAATAAAGATCGTCCTTTTGTCCTTGGAATTTTTTTGCCGTTTTTCCCTCCCTCGATGGCTCCCTTCTGGTGCAAGGTCCCATTGCGAAGGGGATTGGAGAGAAAGCCGGAATCTGGACTCTTCTGTGGAAAGGTGCACAAAATCGAGATTGAACTGCTTTTCTGCATCTCTGCTTAAAACACGTCCACATTCAGGGAATTTATCCAATCCTCTTTGCTAGGGGGACCTCGCCCGTGCTCCGTCAAATGTTTGAGCGGTGGTCATCCGCGGGTCTGAAGACAGCCGTCGCCCTTGTATAGGGCCCGCGGTGAGCTCTTTTGCTTTTTTTTTTTTTTTTTTTTTTTTTTCTTCCTTTCCTTTTGATCCCCGCGCAGCAGCAGGGGAGGAGTCGCACCTCATTTCCGCTCTCAACTTTTGCCACGTCAGAGCATACTGACCCTAGGAGGACTTTCCGGACTCAGCTCTGGACGTGATTGCGGTCAGATGCATTCACGTGCGGACGTAATTGCCGCCAGATACAGTTAGCAAAAGTGGTAGTGTGAGTACGCTGTCAATATCCGCTGCAGCTTATAGCATTCAACCCCTCTTTGCTCTCAGCTGACTGAGATCATTATGACATTGGCATAATTCAAAGACTAGGACTTTCCTGCACGTATTTCAAGTACAATATGGACCAGATTCACCCGAAAACGTCCAGTTCTCTGAGCATCCCCTTCCTGTTCTTCCTCCCGCGGCCCTCGCTGCTGTCATGTTCATTTCATTCAATTTTTAATTAACTACTTATACAACAGGCTTTTATCCTTTTTTTTTTTTTTTTTTTGTTCTTCACTCCCCCCTCGCATTGTTCACCGTCTTGTACCTTTTTTGTTAGGAACACTGCCGCTCGTAGGACTTTCCGGCATGTTTCTGGCGGGAATTACGGCCAGATGCGGCCGACAAAACCTAGTACTCGGTTTTCTTTAGATCATTACTATTCGCTGCCGCACCACTCACCAAATGCAGAAAAGACGAAATTTACGGTGATGAATCTTTCCATGTTCTGGCGGAAGATTCGTTCTCATTTTGCACATTTGGGGTGACTACCGTCTTCCCCCGAACACAACGCACCCTCATTGTGGCTGTATCTGGCCGGAAATATACCTTGCGTACATTCATTTTTAGGCTGCGTATGTTCGGGGGAAAACGGTAGCAGTAGTGCAGCGAAGTCCAATTTCCACAATATAGGGCCCCTCGCCACACCACTCTACTCTCGAAATGTGAAAACGACAACAATGTGGTAGGTGCATCTGGCCATGTTCTAGCAGGAAGTTCATTCTCATTTTGCACATTGCGAGAGTAGCGTGGCGATGCCCATATACGGCCGACAGGTAAGTAGAAAGAAGAACGAAGATACTAGGCAGAAAAAAAAAAAAAAAAAAAAAAAAAAAGAGGTAGTAGGGGTAACTCCCACTAGCACTTTCCAAAATGCATCAGACCGCAATTTCTTTTTTTTTTTTTCGAGAAATCAGACCGCAATTTCGGTCACACCTGTATGCATCTAGCCGCAATTTCGTCCACAAATAAGTAGAAAAGTCCTACGTAGTGTGAGTAGGCCCTAGGTTGGCCTTTCTGTTGTTGTTGTTTTTTTTTACATTTTTTCGTAATTTGTCTACGCCACCAGTCGATTCGATTTTTTTATTTTTTTTTTGTTTCTTAAAGAGTCGATTCGATTTTCGGGCGAGGTGTGATGTAAATACCGCGTTTTTCTGAAATTCAAATGATGTTGCGCTG